TTGCAGCGGGGACCAGCTGGGTCCCAGCTCGGTCCCGGTCCAATCGCCCACTCCCTCGCTTGTCTATCTGCGCACAAATGCGTGACCACAGTCAATCCACGGCCCTGCTCCTAGGTCCAACCCTGCATCTAGATTCTGCACACCTGAATCCCTCTGACCGAGTTTTCCTGTGAAACCCCACTCCACCAGCTGCTGGTTTCACCCCTTACCGGTCAGGCTGAGGAATTTGTTGTTAACAGACTTCCGGAAAGTTCAATTTTCTGTGTTCTGGCTGTGTTTTCTATTGCTAATATTTAGTTGTCTCTAAACTTGGTTGTGTGAGAAGGCACTTATCCACCTATGCCTCCATCTTGGCGGAAGTTCCGGATACACCAATTCTTTATAAATTACATGTGCTTTCTTTACATCTAAATCTCTATGATATTAAAAAGAAAGCCTTTCATTTTCATGCTGCCGATGCATAGAATTTGTTTTCAAATGGCAACAAAGTTGATTATGACTGTATTCTTTCAATAAAGGAAACTTCAGTATGCATTTAGAGATAAAAATTTGCAGCATCTTAAAGCATTTAAAATTTAAGTAGGTGGTCAATCACTGTACAAAAAGATGAGTTTTGACATCATACTTAAAAGACATGAGTAGAGGAAGGAGTTCACAGACTGAAATACCACCCAGTTAAAGCTGGGGCTGCTGTATCCACAACTCACATTATCTGCCACCCAACCCCACTAGCATGAGACAACAGCCACCCACAGTGCAATTGCCAAGGTCATTTTGCTGGGGATGGGGCAGTGAATAAATTTGTTTAAAAATAATTAGATCTTTAAGGACCTCTGGAGAGAATATTATATGTGCTATTTCTTAAGCCATTACAGAGGGTTGAATTGTTGAACTAGAGGATAAGGAACTGCAGCAATGCAGCAAACAGGTGGTCATTAGGCATGGTGATTATAACAATTTTTATTCTTTTGGATTCCAGCAGCCATGTTTTCAAGTATAATTAGCCCTTCAGCAGTGGTGACCCACAGTGAGGTGAACATTCTTCACATTTATTCCCTTTCCTCTTTTTTAAAAAGCCTCTCAAAGCACCTGTGGTATATATACAGTGTCATTAAGAAACAAAGTGTGCCGGTTTCCAAGAACTTGAGACCAATGTGTGCTGCATGCTGTGCACATTTCATATGTTCAGTCATCCAACAGCCAAAGACAGAACTGATTTCTAAGACCGAATTAACACAAGCAGGACATGGGAAGGAATGGATAGCCCTCACACCTATGTAAGAAGCCAGGCCAGAAGACAGATTTGTTCTGCCTAATGACAAAAGCTGAATTAAACAAAACAAAAACAGAAATAACATTTTGAGAATTGATATTCTACAAATTTAAATTTAAGATTCCTGATAATTGTAATACATAGTACACAACAAAGAGTCTAATTAATTTAGAAATGAATAAAAATGCGGATTTTTAAGCTTATTTTGAGATGTTAGAATATGTGCTTTCAGATGTCAAGGGGAGAGAAATTGTCTGCATCTTGACAAATCAATAATAAATGCAGTCTTAACCAAAGACACTTTAACTTAATTAGCTTTTATTCTATGTATCCTTACTCTCTTATTGCCTTCTATTATAACAAACACCACCAAGAAAGAGACAAAGTACAACAAAAACTTCGTTAACAAAAATATACATCTATCTTCTTAGCTTCTGAGGACAGAAGTACATTTATGACAGATTTAATACTAGCTTGAGAGTGATTAGGCCCAATTATAATTATCTTGCTGGGAAGAGAAATTAAACAACCAGAGATAAAGACCCCACAGAAAACCTAGAATAAACACACAGTTGGAGAAGGACAGGGCCTCCAAATAAAGGAAAAAAGAAGGGCAAGTCAATATTTAACACATCTGTCTGGACAGTAATGGGACAAGGTAATCTTTTCAAGAGAACATGAAGTGCATTACGCTGGAAATGAGACTACCTGGTGGGCAGAGTAAGCCAGTTCCTTAATTCTCCTCTTCAACTTTGTGATTTGCTAATGTGAAACACATGTTTCTCTTTTGCACCAAGTTCAAATGACTCCGGAATTCCAACCGCGCAGCTCAGTGACTGAACCAGAACAAGGGGAGAACTTGTCAGGATTTAAGAGCTTTCAGCAAAGCCCTTCAATTGCAGCCAGCACCTATTCCACAGAAGGATATCAATTATAGATAGTGACTTGCTTTAGCAGGCAGTCAGGACTGTCAGACACTAGATAGACAACCATGAAGAATCATGAATCTTTCTATTAACTGTAAGAAGAGGGAAAAGAATGGATCATGGCTATAAATAAGGCACAGCATCAGAATGGTTTAACACCTTGCATCTTGGTTGTATGTACCATGAAAATTCAACTAATTCACAAAACGTCTTTTCTCCAAGGAAAGTCATAAGAACAAAAGCAGTTAATGCTTCCTTCTGTCGCCAAAAGCAGTGGTTTTTGCAAGTGGTGTTATTTCCATCTACCACCAAAAAAATTAGGTGGACTTAAGTACTTATTCAATCAACAAAAAATAAGGTACCTATTCTACATAAGGCCATTGCAAATGCTATCAGATACACACATGATTATGAAGGTACTTGTATGTCATGCAAAGTAAAGTCTGTTTAAAGATACAAATTTGGAATTTCCACACACACTGTACATAACAAATAAAAATATAGCTTATCAATGATACAAACTAGTATCTTTATTTATGTTGTAAGTTACAATTTTTAATTCACTTAATTAAGTTTATTTACTAATACAATTTACCTCAGAGTAAAATTAATATCCTACAGGTACTATATTATCTCTCCTTCTAATTCTGACATAAACTTCTTCTAGCTATTTGAAATTTTAAAAAGTGTACTGTAGTCATTCATATTCTTACATAAAACAGGTAACAGATAAAACTATCAAAACACTGACAGTTTAAGCAACTTACCTTAAAACTACTCAAATCTTTCTATTAAAACAACATCACTGCCTATAACCTTTCACCACTGAGATTAAATACAAAAAAATGCAATATTCTCTGTTTTTTAAAGGCTTTCATGTTCAGTAGGCAGCAAAAAGGTTAATTTATTACCACAACCCCAACATGTCACTTCAAATATGGCCTCTAATGAATAGCACAATTCCCTTTAAATGTAGACCTCCGATTTACATGTAAGCTCCTATTTCATCCCTATTTGAAAATGGCTGAACCATAATCATAGCACTCCTTGGGAACTACAACAACTTATCCACAGAAAGACACAATGAAGCTGTATCATTTCTCAGAAGGACATTTTAACAAGCCCTGCCAACATCTTGGTTATGATGGCAGTTATTACACAAACAATTTTCTCATTTATGTTGTGTACTCATGGTATCACTCAGGGTATGCTTGGCATTCTCTGGTCTTTGGGAATATTTTTCTACATTAAAATAAAATTTCATAACCTTTTTTTCCACTTTAGTACGACAATGTCTGTGGTTTCCATTAAAAAAGTCAGCAAGAATAAAAGGGCCATTAAGTTAGGCTTGGCTTAAAAAATAACAGTTGCAGCAAATTATAGAGAAAAAAAATAAATTAACTTCATGGAAAAATTTGAAAATATACCTTAATTTAAACCATCTGATTTTCTAATTTATTGCTGTGCTGAGAAATCTATAATTCTTTCTATATTATTACAAGGAGACACAATTAAAAAAGAAACAGAGGGGGGGAAACCCTGCTTAGTTCATGTTAAATCCTCAAAGCATTCTGAATATACCAAATCTCAAAACCAGCAAATCATATATTTAACAGTGTAATGTGACTGCAATGTGTGAAACGTATTACACAGGATGAGCCAAGTTTCAGAAGACTCACTTCAAAGGCTCATGCAGCCTATAAAACATGTGGGATGTGTGAGGAATTTTATAATTTTAGTGTTTAAATGGAGGAGAATCATGAAATATGGATCATCTAAAAATAAAAGTTACTAGAAAAGAGAATGAGTGTGCATATGAGGGATAGAGAGTCACAATAAAAGCTGCTCTTTCAGATTTTTGTCATATTAAAAGCTTATGCCACACTTAGCAAACCACCCTTAATGCCTTAATAGAACACTGTTCTTCTGTACCAGGGTGGATAGGCTACCTCTTTCTTTTCCTTTATCATCTAAATGCCCTTCTATCTCAGTTGCTTGTGGTCCCATTTTCCAGTAAGGCTTTATTGGTGTGAGAGAAAATGCCAAATAAAATGAAACATGAGCAAAGGGCATAGGGCTAACCAGCTATGAGTACATGGGTTGGGGAGTGCTGCATTATATGAAACAATACACATGGGAGTAAGGGGAAAGACTTTAGAACCTGTTATGATGAAGAAGGTGTGGTTCTCAATCTGACCACACTGCAGTTTTGAAAGATGAATACCATTAAACACACTTAACAATACATACTGCTTTTTCCATAAATTGTTAGCCCTACAAGAGTCGGCCTCAAGTCAAGAAACTGTGTTAATGCTTGCCCCCAAGCATCCATCTATCTCACACAGAGTACTAATTGCTGCATAAAACAAAGGGAGATTCCTGATGCTTTCTGAGAGGAAGGTAGAAGGGAAAAAAAGGAACCCCATGACAATTGTTTCTATTGTTACTCTTGGAAAGGAGACTCAAACTTGGTTAAAAGGTTAATAATAATTCATGTCTTACTATTATTACTCAATAACCATCAAAGCTTCTAACTTAAAACAGCGGCTTCTCTGACTTGAGGATCAGAGTCATTACACTCTCCACTGAAGACTTTATTGAATTTTACACTAAGCTTTAGCTGACTGAACAGGTCAAGCACTGTGACTCAGAGTGCTCTTTATTCTCAGAAAGTCATAAAGGCCTCTCCATTCTGTAACGCTGCGAGCTACAAAACTTGACTCAGCACAGGGTAAAGGAGGCTGGTCTTCCAGAAAGGTCACATAGTTGTAAAGCTCAGTTCCAGAGTCCCTTTCACTTACATGCACCAGCTGCTCCTGGGTGTCAAACTCCCGTGTGCAGCCTTCCCAGTGGCAGTTTGTCTCATAGACGACTTCAGGCTCCTGCTTGCTTTCATCTTTGTCCCCTTCTTCCTTCACCAAGGTGGTTACTTCTGGCTGTTCCTGATAGGCAGGGGGTAAGGGGAGGGAAGAGAGGGGGGAAAAAAAACAGACACAATGGGAGAAAAGATAAGAAGAGACGTTTTTCTCTTGATGCAATTTTTCCATGAAGATAAAATAGAGCCCAGGCCAATCAAATGGGTTTTGTGAATGGAAGAAGTCAAACATATGGAATCATTTGTGTACATTTTTTCATATATATCAAACACATCTTCAAAGATTACTAATTTAATGATTGAAAACAACAGTCCAAACCATAATGATGATAAGAAGTTGAGGCCAAGCTCTACTGTCCTTAAACACAAAGGAGAAAAACAACCCCAAACTAATCTAAAATGTTATCCCATAAGAGAAGCAATTAAACTAGGTCACATTGTCTTTACCCAAAAAAAACCTGGTCTTTCTCTTTTGGTTAGATTCTTTCAGTATATTAATGTATTTATTCTCATATTTTGGAATCCGAGGAAATAATTACTAGTAATTCTAATTCTGTTTTCCTTGCTGTTGGAGTCTGTAAGAAGCACTTTGTGGATTTTATAGGGAAATGTCTTTTTTCTTCAACTCCTGATGTCCAATGATATACTCTTTGTCCAAGAACAATGGCATCTAAAGCTTGGTGGGGAGGGTGGCAGTATAGTCTTTCCTAGTCTACTCAGGCAGCTTTGTACCAATTTAGATACAACAAATTTCTAGAATTCTGAGAGACAATTAGATATATAGATTTGAGTTCTAATCTGAGGCTAGATGATAAAAACTATACAAGCATTTAGGTATAGCCAGCAAGGTTGTTGACTAGTAAAATATTGGAGGAAGGATGAATTTCAGAATGCATAACATCCATTCATTCCATCTTCAACATTTTCACAAAAATGGACATTTGGGCTAAAACTGCCTGAGGTTTGGGCTGAAGCAGCCTGGCCGTAGCCAAGATCCAGGTTCTGTGAATGTCTAAACTCTTGTCCAACCCCTATTTCTGGGAATTAATATTCACTGACCTCTTTTCTGCATCAGGCACAGGGACCCTAGAAGATGATGTTATGATAATATACACATCTTTAAACTGAGGCTCAAATGACTAAGTGGAATTTTTAAACTTGTTCTTTCAGGGCTTTAGGTAAAGGGCTGGAATATAAGTGCCTTATGATAGGTTAGTTGTGCCTTGATCCCTCCCTGTTCTCAAGGGTCTCCTAGAAAGTAAGAAGTGGCAAAATAAGAATAAAAAACACATTAATATAGGGAACATCACTGGCTCAGCCCAGCTCAGGTTTAAGACCAGAAGGTCACAGTTCAAGCCCATGATTTTGTCTAAGGACTGAAGCCCGGTCACATCAATAGTCAGTAACAAATACATCTAACCACTTACTCTATGAACCACAGTTTAAATCCCACACAGCTTCCTGCATTTTTTTGTGTTTACTTCTGAACTAGAGAAACAAATTGAGTCAAGCTCTGTAACTGGCCTTCTTTCATGTGCAGAGCCCAGGTGCCTCACCTGCTGACCCCGTGGCCCAGGACTGGGGAGGTCCTCATCAGGTTTGATCTTAGATCGTTTGTTGTGCATCAGGTCGCCAGTACTGCTCACTGCAGACTCACTCGTGGGCTTGTTCTGTCAGTCACAGTTGCAGAAACAGAGACAAAACTTAGGTTTTGATCAATGAGCAGGACCATTGCTATGTCATGCAACTTGAGAGGAGTAGGCTTATTTGGCATTAGAGCAATGAGTCTGATAACTCTCCAATACCATGGCAACAGGAAATACATACATGAGGCAGCTCCTTGTTTTTACCTCAGGAGTATAAACTCCCTTTGTCTTTAAAAGCTAGTAGAATAGATCTGGGGGCCTGAGATTTAACAAGCTCCAATAGTGTATTTAAAAGAACAAAATCAGGCCCTAACTGGTGTAGCTTAATGGGCTGAGTGCAGGCCTTTGAACCAAAGGGTTGCCAGTTTGATTCCCAGTCAGGACACATGCCTGGGATGTAGGCCAAGTCAGGTTCCCAGCAGGGGGCATGTGAGAAGCTACACATTAATGTATCTTTCTCTCCCTCTCTCCTTCCCTTCCCCTCGCTCTAAAAATAAATAAAGTCTTTAAAAGTTTGTTTTTTAAAGAACAAAATTGTGAGGGAGGAAACCAACATGAAGTTCTTTAATTAGAGCATCCAGATTCTTCTCTGAACATGATCAGCATGGAGATAAGAATAGTTTTATTATTACTCTGAAGTACCACACAATTCTAAGCACCAGTGGACTGTGACCAAATGAGAGCAATACATTCATGCATGCATTTCTATTGAATAGATGTATAGACAGCATTGGGTCAGAATGAAGCCTTTTCAAGCAGCTCACTTTTCTTCCAAGGATAAAATAATTTTAATGGAAGAAGCTGTTGTTTATTGAGGAGCACACAGATAGCATATTCATCAAAACTGAAGATGACAGCCCTAGTTTCAGAAGACAGACTGCATACAGTATGAAAGTCCTGAGAGAAGGAAAATGGGGACAAACTCATGGATGGAGAGCAGGATGACAGCTAGTGGGCAGGGGGAGGGATTGAGCAAAAAGAAAAAAGGACTCATGGACATGGACAACAGTGTAGTGATTCTTCGGGGGAGGTAGGTAAAAAAATAAAATTATGTGAGAAAAATAGAATAGATAGAGGAGTTCAAGGAAGAAAAAGAATAATGTAAAATTTGTAACTGCAAATGGATAAAGTAGGTAACAAATCATACAGTCTTTAGTTCATTAGACTCATGTAAAAATCTATTTGCTTTATTTAAAAATCATTAAGATTTGTAGTATATAGAAAATCACATGATTTGAAGCTGCTTAAACTTAAAATACAGTTGATAACAATTTTAACTGTGCAAAGTGAAATAATTTTTTCAAAATTATATGAGGGGAAAAGTTGGAAGACCATTTGGTTCTTAACCATGCCTGCATCAAACCCATGAAAGCCCAGATGCCACCCAAAATTATCTGGGAGCACTTTTCCATCCCTGCCCACCCTTCATCATCTTCATGAGTCAGAGCCAAGTAACATTGCCATAGGGTGAATCAGTCTTTCCTCTCACATTCCTCTAGAACACAGAAGGTCTGGGAAAGCAGAAGAGAGCCAAAAAGGAGGGAACTGAAAGAAGAGAAATATGTAGGGGGGGGGGGGAAGCAGGAATCAAAAGTTATCCCACCCCATCCCAATTTTGCCAAAGGATAGTCCTACCTCTACCAAATAATTTAGTTATTATCAATGATTCCTGGAAAGTACATTTGTTGTTTTTATTTCATTTGTTTTATTGCAAGTTTTTACAAAGTAAACATTCAATAAACATCATTTGGATAAAACAAAAAAAAAAAGGAAAAAAGTCTGGAGAATGCCAGGGCACTATGTCCACGAAGACCAGCTCAATGAGCTGTCTCTCTCACCTGTGAGGACTCAGAAGGGCCAGAGCTGACCTGGACAGGGTTCAGCACTGCAGGGATCCCCGGAATAGGCCTCTGTGTTGGAAATGTTGGGGCAGGATGGATGAGCGGAGGGCTGTGTCCAAAGGCTGAGCCTAAGCTCTGCTGTCTGCTCAAGATTTGTTGATGTACGTGGAGAGACACAGGTGCAGAAGGGTAGGTGAAACTCAAGGCAGGGCTGCACAGAGGAAATAAAGAGCAGGAAACCATTACTTACACAGAAAAAAGAGAGTACTGCAACACCCCATGTTTGCAACTTTATACCTAGTTTTGCCAGCCTAACTCATATCAAGTCTGCCTGTTTAAATTAGGAGGTAAAAACAATGATTGACAAACATCCTGAAAACTTGCAAGAGAAAGATGACAAGAAATGCATGCGAACACACATACGTAGACCTAAAAATAAGATTCAGCAAAATGAAACAAAAGGCATTGGCTCAGCAACAGCTATTTATTGCAATAACAAACTTTATACCAAAAAAAAAAGAAAATAGGTAACTACAAGCTTTATAGTACTGTTATCGGCTTTCAATCCCATATGTTCCTGTGCATGGAGCAATTCCTTTAATCTTGGCTTACACTGTGCACTTTCATATGTCTCCAGATCTTATTACAAGAGGAAAGAAAATCAATTGGTTAAATGTGTTTTGAACACCATGCTTGTCATATCACTCATTTGTTTGTAAAGATGGAAAGCCTGGTTCATCCAGAATGCCACCTAAAGTATTTCCATCAGTACCGTCTGGTTACAGAAGCTGATGGATTAACCTCTCCTGGGTGAAATCAGTGATCAATGGGCTTTGACGGAGGAATATTCCAATGGGAGAGTACAGCTTCCTCTCCCAGTTAAATGGCCTTAAATGTCTATTAAAGACCATTATACATGCTAATGACTATCACTACTTCATTATGCCACAGGATTTCCCAGGCTACAGTAAGTTCAGAAACTGCATTATCATTAAAGATACCTCGACTAGTAGGCAGAGCCAAATTATCCTTTATGCTAGCAGAGTTTAGGAAGCAAATCCTCTTAAAAGAATGAAGTGCCCTTGAGGAATCTGCCAATGCTTAAAAATGCATGAAAACTATAAACGCATTCATGAAAAATTTCCTTAAAGAATATATACACACATACACACATATATTTCCTTCATCCTGCTGTGTAATACACAATAAGAATCAGGACTTTTTCTAATGTCAAAGATAGAATCCATTCAAATTTACAATCTGATAGATTAATTACTATTGCTGTTAAGCATATTAACTGAGAATATAATAATTACAATAACAGAATTCATAACATTTCAACAACTTCAAGTAATAATTCTGAATATATACTCTGTTCATTAATGTGACTCCACATTTTGCCTATTTGACTACAATCCATAAAAGGCAACTTCAATGGGATTACATTACTATTATTCCTACAGAGAACCTCATGTTACAATAGTATGCCCATTTAAAACTGAATATTATTAAGAATACCCTAGGAGAATTTCACTAGGCTTGGGAGTAACTCACCTTTCATTCTGTATTGTATTTCCTTAATAAAGGAAAGCAGAGACATGGTGAAAACAGTCATTGTTCAAAGTTAGGGAGAAATCAGTATAATATTCTGTTTCTGCAGCACTATAGTTTCTGCTAAGCGTGTCCAAAAGCAACCATGAATGATTGTAGCGAGACTTAGCGAAGGTAGCTGTGTGGATGATTGATAGGGTGTTAATCAAAAGATGCATATCTGCCTCAGAATTTGTTCACAGCTTTCTTCTAATAGCTGATTTCATGTTCACTGAGCTCTATGCCAGTTTGTCCAATTTATTTTTCAGTGTACAAGCCATTCATCAAAAAAACACAATGATTTAACACCTCCCCTTTTGCTTTTGGTGAATGGGTATTACTAAGTGTAACTACCTTACTCTATTCATTAAAAAAAACCAAGAAACAAAAGATAGCTATACACATACATTTACAATGTGACACAGACTTTGCAGGAAACTCCGTAAACCTCTCCAGAGTTCCCTGAGCCCACATGATCCAGTGGGCTTGGGAAGGGTACCCCTGTGGTCACTTACATTCTAATTCTAGAAGGCAGAATATTTGGGGGCTCAAAAAATCAGGACCTAATTAAAAATCAAGACCATTAAAAACACATTTCACAAAGCAGAAAATGCCCTCAGTTATATTACTAATTTAAAAATGTTAGTAGCTGGATGGGGTCAGTACAGTTTTACTTTTAAAATGATGTAGGATAAGAGAGAAGACAAAAGCCAGGTCCAGCATTCCTGCTTCAGTCCCATTCTGAGGTGCATTATTTCCAACTCCAGAAAACAACGAAAGGGGCTGGAAAAGCTTATGGCACATTTAAGTAACATCCCCTTTCTAGGCTGCTTTTTGGCTGGTAAAACCAGGCAACAGGAATAAACATTCTCCAAAACCCATGTGGTCTGATTCCAAAGGATAGAGAACACACAGAAGGAACAAGTGATTTTCCGCTGTCACTGCTTCTTCCTAAGAAGCCAGCAACAGAAACTCTCTCTTCTGTAAGGCACATATGGAGGCCTGAGCTCAACCAAGAAGTGCTAGTGCTGCTGCTGGCTCCTCAAGGTGCTTCAGATTACAAAGACTATTTAGAATGTGGTGACAGAAGAGACATTCTCGACTTTGTCACAGCATTGGTGCATGGATTTGAAAGCCAAGGCTCCTCTTGCTCTCTAAGCAACCTGTGAAGTTTTTGACCAAGTTTTGTAAGGAAACAGCAGAGGATGTGCAACAACTGGGTACTGCCCAAGGATGTACCCCCTCCCACAGGCATGAAAAGAAGCTCAAGAGGACTTCTTGCCAGTGCAGGGCCAGGGGACCTGAGCCACCACCTCCTGCTCTGTGACCCTGACTGGTGGTGAGCTGTCATCAGAAGAATCTCTGCCTGTGAGTCTCTGCACACCAGTAAGGACTCAGTTTTGCTGTGTCCTTCCAAAATTAAGCATGATTGCTTCCCTTTTTATTACTAAGGTCGTAGCTTAAATGTTACCTCCTCAGAAAGAGAAGCCAGCTGAGACCAATGTCCTCACCTCCCTCAAAATGAGCCCCTTTGCAGCACCTTGCCCAATCATTTTCTATTGTTTTACAATATTATTCTCACCACAGCACACGGCACTATCTGAACTAATATTCTCTCTTACCTTCTAGAATGTTGTATGGTTTAGGTGAACTGGGCCCTGGTCTGTCCTACTCCTTCCTGACCCCTGGTGCCTGGAACATTGCCTCGCATGTGGCAGGCACCCAATTTTGACACACAGAGTGACTGAATCACTTCTGCAATGCATTAATATCTCACTGCTGCTGAAACAAATTACTGCAAACTTAGTGGCTTAAAACAACACATGCTCATTATTTCACAGCTCTGGTGGTCAGTCTCAAACAGGTGTGCAAGACTGTGTTTCTCTGGAGTCTCTAGGCACCCTGCCTCTTTCAGCTTCTACAGGCTGCTGACATCCTGGGCTCCTGGCCCCCTTCTCCTCTCACTCTCACCTCACGTCTCCCACCTCACTATTATAAAGACCCTTGTGGCCACCTGAATAATCCAGGATAACCTCTTCGTCTCAAAATCCCTAACTTAATAATAGCCACGAAATGTCTTTTGCCGCATAAGGCAACATGTTCATGGGTTCCAGGGATTAAGACACGGGCATTTTTGGAAGCCATTATTATCTATTACACTCAGAATAGTTTTAAAGGAAAACTTGTTTTCCTCTGTAAACTACAATTTGATATATCTGTAAAACAGTATTACATAAACAAAACTAGTTGTCTACATTCACATCTTTCTATAAACTTCAGCAGCTGATGATTTTGCTGATTACAGAGGTCAGAATTTTTAAAAAGTTGTAACTTTAGAAGCCTTAAAAAATCTTCCTAAATGGTTCATGTATTTATTCCATAATTTCCTAGAAATAAAAGTACTGATATTGTTGAAAATATTTACAAATCTCTTCTTTCTCCTCTAAACAAGGACTGAGTCTAATCTAAAGTTTGGTCTACCTGAGCTTTATTACCACAAGCCTTTACATTTCTGTTCAGTGCATTCTTTCTTATGGATCACTTAAATAGACGTTAATTTTCTACTCTGATTTCTAAATTCTTTTCACTCAACATTCTTTTAAGTACAATTAAAACATATTTTTACAGCTTTCATTTATTTTCTACATGACTGCATGAAAAATAGGATATTTAAAAAAACACAAATGTTTATAACAATGTGACTTAAAACTGTTAATCTATATTTAATTAGTAAGATCTCTAGAAAGTATGAGGTGGCCCAGGTCTTCCTAATAAATGAGCTAACATGGTCACAGGCCTCCTGAAATAACAATCCAAAAATAAGTTTTATGGAGAAAAGGAGAAAGAGGTAGTAAAATATAAAAGTCTGAGGATTGAAGGTTCAAGAGTCTGGAGTTAATATTAATTATGCAAATATGTGTTCCCAATGTCCTACTCCAGACAGTGTGCAGCAGTATCTGGAGCAGGTTCTAGAGACTAGTGTTCTTTGTGAAACATTTTTCAAAAACACTCTTCTAGGACAACATTTATAAAGCCAGAAATAAAAACCCAAACATTATTTTACTAAAGACTGAAAAAAATGTGGATTTTAGATCTCTAACTATAATTTGTCCTGGTGGTATCCGGACACCAAAAATAACTTGTATCCATCAGGATAGATTTATGGTTACTGATTTTTGTTTGATAAAATACCTTAAAGGGTCATTCTGCTGTCTGCAGTGACAGAGGGACAGAGTTCTGAGCACTTCTAAGTAAAGATAATTACTCACAGTCACTTCCACCTTTAAATTCAGCTCAGAGCTAAATTAAAAATGATCAAAACACTGTTGTCTGAGTGGGAACCAATTCTTCTATTTCCTAAGACTTAAAATTCAAATTCCCCAATTTTGCATCTTTAAGAAAGCTTTGATGGTGATTTTGTTTTTGTTTATTTAGTAAAAATAAGGACTGTGTTTTATTCTCCTGGCCTTATTTTAAAGTATATTTTATTGATTACTCTATCACGGATGTCCCAAATTTAGTTATCCTTTATCCCCCTCCATCCTGCACCCTCCCACCCTCCAGCATAACCCCCCTCCCATCCCCAACCCAGTCTGTGTCCATGGGTTATACATACCAGTT